ACATTTTTGTTTGATTGTACTTCAGAATTTATATGACTGATTCCCAAATTGTTAGTATTTTGGTTTAATTAAGGTTCATTTGTATGTCTTGAAACATTATTTGAGATCATTAAAAGATAGATCAAGGATCATATTATAGAGTATTACCAGAACTAGAACCATAGAAAAAAAAAATCAAAGCCTGTCTAAAGATAACTGGGAGTCAATAAGTTAAGATCAGTTATTGCTAATGTCCTATTTTCTTTCAAGGACGAGGCTGTGGAAGGGGCCCTCCGCGAGATTGGGCTGTACTAGCTTGTCCAGAGTGATACTCCTGCAACTTTCCCTTTTCCCTCATCCCCATTCATGTGTCCACCCATGCAACCCATTTAAGATATAAAGACTAGTACTGAATTTAGCCACCAGTGTCATATGTTCATGGTGATGCTGAGTTTTTTTGTTTTTTTTTTTCTTTCATTCTTTCTTTCATTTTAATGAATAAAGGGCAGTTTGTGAATTTTCATTGTGATGATGATGCGAATTAGTGACTAGTATGAGCTTTTGAAAGCGTTGAGGGTATTGATTTCAGTATTGTAAAGCTTACTTATTCACATTCGTGAAATGAAGTATTTTTGTTAAATGTAACGAACCATCGTTTTGACAAACGGGATCAATTTGAAACTATATTTTGAAAAAGACTGTTATAGAGATCTACAGTAGCACTTATGTAGATGATGGCCACAGTCGTTATACCCTGGTCACTTTCCTTCTTGGTGTGTAAATGGGTGTGACTATATGTAAGGATGTAAGTATGTATGAGTGTTGTATGCCACTGCCCTAGATCACGATATTTAGCATTTCTGTTTTGACTGAGCCGTGTTTCAGTGGCCCACTGTGTAATCAATATATTTTATTTTGGTGCTACTTTGATGTTGTCATGTTATATCATTATCATTGTTAATTTCATACAAGTGCTATTATTATTTTAGTTGTTATTGATTGACTGCTTTATTTATTTATTTTTAAAGAGATCCATAGAAAAATTTCATTCTCCTTGTCTTTATTTATTTTTCTACTATAGGCTCAAGTCTGTTTTGAGTTTGTGTCTCATTCTTTGGTCAGTACAAATGGTACACAAGATGTTCAAAGATATTATATGATTTAGTTGCTCCCATTGTTCAAAAAGAAGTTTGCATTGTGCTTGTTTGTAGGTGTTGGTCACATGGGTTTTGATGTGTGGAAAATAAGACGTGAATTGGAGTTCTGAATTTGAAACGATGAAAGAAATTTAGGTCCAGAGACTTTAATTCTTTGAAAATGTTATGATGACAGTGGTTGCATCCTTCATTGGCCTTGTATAGTGTATGGTAACTATGAAAAAGCTTGATGAAGGGATATATTGTATAAGCAGAAATAGTGTATATTATACATATTAAATCTTTTGTAGAAGTTTTTAAAAAATTTAGTGCAATAGAAGAAAATAGAGGAAGAGTATTGGTTAAGCCATAGATTGAAGGTTATTGTTCTCCAGTTAGTTTATTTAGAGATATTCGACAGGCAAAAACAGTTATATCTATAGATAAACAATACAAAAGGCTGCACAAGGAACTGATATAATATGCATATTACTTCTAATATAAGGCTATGCACACTAACACCAATCTTGTGACATAAAATGTAAATTTGTAAGGAAAAGGAAAGGTTTGAGATGCAGTAGTTACCAGCAGTTTTAGCAAATGCTAGGGAGAGGTGGCTTGGCTACCCCATAGAACAGTGAAAACACCAGTGAAGTAATAAGCCTCCACGCTAATGATTATAGACGCTCTCGTTTCGTAGCTTACTTGAAGTTCGTATTTTGAATGTAACGATTATTATTATTATTATTTATATATCTTTATTGTTATTTTTTAAAGATTCTTTTGGGGTACTCATATTTTTGTCCCCTGTTTCAGAAATAGGTTGTATATACATTATATGTTGCTTAAACCATTTGCTCTTGCAGTGAAAACTACATTTCAGATAATTTTGTCTTGATAAAGTTTTCAGTATTATTTTTTCTTATATTTCTCTGTAGACTTCTACAGGCTTGGGGTGTCCTTAATATGAGAAAATCATGCCAGAGGATGTCTTAATGGTCTATAAACACAATATGCACATCATTTCATTAGTAACAAGTAATTGATGTGGTTTTGTGTGTCTCACTGTAATAGTGAATGGGTTAAGCTTGTAGTATTTTATGTGGTACTTGTTGTTACTTTAGTTGTATTTTGGACTTGTGTTAATAATAGCTAATTTCTGGGCATTTTCAACCAGGTACTGCTGATGAATATACATATTTTTATTTCCTGTACTGGAAATGGGACAATTAATTCATGTTCTGTGACTGTGGAGTTAGTTGCAGTGCTTCCCTTACTTTTTCAGACTTATTTTAATATTGAAAAATATATTTAGCCATAGGAATATACAGCACACTATTGGCAAATACAGTTTCAGTAATTTCTGTATCTTCTGAGGTAAGGCATGCAGTATAAATTACAGTATAGTGTGAATAGAAACATATAGAAACCTATATATTCAGATGGAGTTTTCATATAGGAAGCTAGAGGCATCATCAGCAGTGTCTGGTATAATGGTACTCTGCAGGGGCATTTCTTCTTGACAATTTTTAAGATTATGTCACATGAACTTTACTCATGTTGTCCTGTTTCTATGATAGATTCTTATATGTTTGTCTTTAGCCTAACAAAGCCACAGTTTACAAATGTAAGTATTCAATATTTTTGTTTTATTCATCTTCAGATTATGCTATTATGATTTCCATGTTTGTACACTTATTTGTTGTAGACTTTTGTGTACATATTTGGATGTGGATGTTGGTTTTCAGAGAAGTTGGTGGGCAGTGTCATAGTACATAGTACATGCAAACGCTTTATTAATCTGGTGCTTCTGAGTCTGGTTCTAAATAGTAGTGGATTGCCATCTTTGAGAATATATCTGATATATGGATTCAAGAGATCTGAAGAGCATTGCTTTATCAGAATATGGAGGCAGAATTCATGATACTTACCAGGCTTTTTGGCAGATTACATTTTACACTTGCTTCATGATCGCCAAGTTCTATTCCAGATGAGGCTCGGCAAGTATGATAGATAGCTAGAACATACATATATGGGTGTGTGTGTGTTTGTGTATGTCCACACACACACAAATGCGCACACACACACACAAGTGCACGCATCCACACAGGCACACACACATACATATATATTCATACTTTTTTGCAAATACTCATTTTGATCTGAAACGAAGTAAACACTCATTAAAACAAATGTATTGCCTATGAAATATTAGCACGATTTCTTGCAGTACTACACAGTTATGAAGAATACAACTATTGTTACAGATGGAGAGAAAAGAAGCTGTTGTTTTAACAGTGGCCTAGACAATCCTTTTAACTTTTATTTTGATACGATTTCAGCATAACTAGATTCTGTTGAGAGCATTTCCTCTTAGGCTGAGCATTAATTATGGTATAAGAGGATACTGCTCCATTATATTTGCCAAAGTATGTAAGATATGTGAAGCAATGGCAATGAAATAATAGTAAATAGCTATTTGTACGAGTTCAGTTCCAATAGATATATAAAAAAGACTATAAGAGGATCTTATGGAGCAAATTTCTGAACCTCAGATTTTAAGAAGTCTTTATTCATTTTCCTTTATCATTAGAACTGTCAGAATCTGGTGTTAAACTTATGGTCTAGATTTTCATACATGACTTAGAATCTCATTGAATAAAAAGACTATTCTTAATGATGTGTTATTGGTTTTGAGTGTTAATTATCAATTGAATATTTTTTTTCTTTTTATTTACTTACCTTTTTGTGTTATTAAAAGGGAGATACTTTACAGCACTTTAGTCTGCAAGAAAAGCTGATGTATCATACTGGTGACTGGGTTTCTGTGATGTGATTCAACCCAGTTCTAATTTTCCCTCTCTTTCCTTATCTCCATATTTAGGAAGAGGCTGAGGAGGATGCGATGTATTATGGAGGATACAATATCAGAATGTTGTGAAAGTGCTTCAGTATTTGTAATTTTTACAAGGCTTAGATAATTTGTGACAGATGGTCATATATATTTTAGATGTTTTATGTGTTAAAAGTGCTAATGGTCATATATATTAGATATTTATTTGTTAAAAGCTATGTGGGATTGAGGGTGTATGTAATTTTCAGAATGTCATGTAATTGTGAGCGCGTGGATTATGGGTATCTACAGGAATTTGAACATTATATCAATATGCTGATGCTTACGTTTGAATGTGTATACATGTGTATGTGCATATATAGTGTGTGCACATCTGCATTTATGCACATATACATGCTTTGCATTCCCATATACAGTCACAAACACACACACACTCACATGCATGCACATTCATGCACTTGCACAGGCACACATTTACTTACACTGTGATCTATTGTGTAAAAGTACTTTTTTATACAAGACAATTCTCTCTATCTGACACATCATGAAAAGAACATCAGTATTTGTGTTCACTGCTCTCTGTTGTCCACTTTGCAGCATTACAAAGGTATGTTGCATGTGAGTGATATTTGTGCAATACTTCACAAAAACATGACAAAGTATATGTGTAACGTCTGACATTGATCTTCGGTCCTCTCTACATCAGATGCCAATCAGTATGGCTGTAGAAGTACAATTGAGTTAGTTTATATTAACACTAAAAAAATATCAGTATTACAACTTCTGCAGCTGAGATGTCATTTGAATGTAATGTTATAATGCACATTGACCGTTCGGGCTCTTTTATTACCTTCGTTTTAATCAAATACTGGTAGCATAATTTCCTGGATAATGGTTGTGTGTATGTAGTCTCTGAGGAGAAATAGTAGAATGCATTGGGAAATGATTTTGTTTCCATATGATTGGTGTATTTGAAGTATCTTTAGATTACGTAAAACATTTTGTGTCACAAATCATTCCTAACAGTTTTTGAAACTAAAAAAGAATCCTAGTTTGATGTGTGATTTGGTATATTGTTTTGAACTGGATAAGTATCCATAGAACATTATTTTTTCTTGCATTTAATGAATATTTCAGAATTTTGATGAGTAAAAGAAACATAGATTTTGCAATATGTTTTATTGAAATGATATCTGTAATTGAATTAAAGTTCCTATGCATTTTCTTCTGTGAGTAAAACTTGTGGTACTTATGAAGTTTTAACCTTTTTTTCGTGGAAGTGTGCCAAAAAGTTAAATTGTTAAAGGTAAAGAGATAACTGAACATGTAATGTCATAATAAGCATTATAGGCTTAATAAACAAGCACACACGAGAGTTCAGACACATCGAGATTCATAATACTGCCTATAACACTTTTATGTCTTGAGGTTAGGAATTAACCGGTATTAATATTAATTCTTTCCCTTCCTCCCTCCTAGGATGAGATCGTGGAAATGGCCCTCAGGGACATGGGTCTAATTTGATGATGAGATCTTATCATTTTTTAGTCTCTCTTTTCGGATATGTATGGGATTTTGGACGTACAAGGTTTTCACAAAAGTTGATGGAATAGGTTGTGAATTGTCAAGAAAAGGAGACCCTGTGCTGGGAGGTTCACACACACAGTTGTCAAAGCAGTATTGTTCACAAAGGAAATTAGATTTTAGTGTCCTGTGATAGGTTCAAGCACAAAAACTGAATGAATGTATGTAAGATTCTTTTTAGGATTGCTGTACTGAAGTTTCAGGTCATAGAATGCTCACCGATACATGCACATATATGTAATAAATGAATGCTAAGTCAATAATTTCATTTAGATTCCAGTTTACATTGTATTTGTCTTTTCCTTTTTTGTTTATATCTTCCTGTATTTTATTTCCAAAATGCCTTGAATATGGTTATATATAACAAGATTGGTGTTAGTGATGGTATATATTACAATTATTTTGATGTTCATTATGGGAATGATTGACCAATTTTATATCTTTATGAATATAGCCACTTCTCCATGTTAGGTTTATTTTGATAATTCCTTGCTAGATCTTTTTTGATATGGAATAGATTGTAGTTGAAATAAAGTAGATGTGATGGCTATGATTTTTACTACTTTGTAATAGTATGCTAGTGTAGTTTTTTTTTATGTAATACCTCCCATGTATACCTTGAACAACTCTTTCTGTGGCTTACCATACACTGGTGGTGGTTCCAGCTTGTAAATATGGTCATTTATGGCCTAGTGCTGAAATAAATTTGTCCCGTGTGTTACTGCATTTTTCTTTCCCTCTGCTGTTTTTATGCACTGAGTGGCTTTGTGGACCAGTTGATGAATTACTGTAATTACTGAAATGTAGATGAGGCATTCTGGCAAGTAGGTATTTGCTTGTTTTTCTTACACTGCTAGTTTTATACATATGTGTCAAGAAAAGAAATGTTAATTTTTTTCCTACTTCAAAGTTAACCAACAAATTGGTTCCAAGAAACTTAGTCTGGAAACAAGCCATATTTTATTAAAGATGAGGATGCAGATAGCACTAGCCTGTTGCCCTTGCATTCATTGGCATAGATGTAGATGTTGAACAGAATGTGTGTGTGTGTGTGTGTGTGTGTGTGTGTGTGTGTGTGTGTGTGTGTGTGTGTGTGTGTGTGTGTGTGTGTGTGTGTGTGTGTGTGTGTGTGTCTGTCTGTTGTCTGTCTGTCTGTCTGTTGTCTGTCTGTCTGTCTGTCTGTCTGTCTGTCTGTCTGTCTGTCTGTCTGTCTGTCTGTCTGTCTGTCTGTCTGTCTGTCTGTCTGTCTCTCTCTCTGTTTTCTCTCTCTCTGTTTCTCTCTCTCTCTCTCTCTCTCTCTCTCTCTCTCTCTCTCTCTCTCTCTCTCTCTCTCTCTCTCTCTCTCTCTCTCTCTCTCTCTCTCTCTCTCTCTCTCTCTCTCTCTCTGTCTCTCTCTGTCTCTCTCTCTCTGTCTCTCTCTCAGTCTCTGGCAATATGTGTCTGTACATGTGTGTGTCTTTGTCTGTATCAATATATGAACATATTTTTTGAATAGCACACCTTATATTTAGGTTTGCAGTAGTCTTAATGCATAATGTAGATTTGCCATGCAAGTTTAAGCAGTCAGATGAATAAATACAAATAGAAATATGCAGAATGTTTGTAAATACTATATAGGAAGGAATGTTAATGTTGGTCTTCAATTAATGTTGCCTCTAAGGTTTGGCATTGCCTTTTGCAATATATATCTTACTTGAACATGATAAGCATTTACAAGTGGGGTATTTCTTAATGATTTTGTTATATAACATATTTATATATAACATGTTATAAAACTTATTTCTATGATTGGTTAAGGGACAGGCTGAAGAGACAGATTTAAGTCCTGACCGTAAACACTGTAATGATGTTGATGTTATTTCTATATTTCATTTCATTTTAGGTTAAGAGTTTAAAAAAAGAAAGAAAGAGGAAAAAGATAGTCAGAATCAAAGAGGAAATTTCAGTTGATGTTTTTAATGACATTTATAGACTTTGTTTAGTTATATGTATCCATTGGACTATGTTATGCTACTTGATGATGAATTCTCTTTGTTGTTGTTATCCTAATGCTTTTTTCACTTACATCCATTGTTAGTAAATAGGAATGGATTTAATTCACTAGTAAGACCAACCCTTAAGCATGTTAATTACCTTTGCTGTCATTAGCTGGTACCTTGCAGATCCAAGGAGGATGGTTCCTTTAGTATTATACTGCATGTCATTAATGTTTATCACTTTTTTTTTTTTTCTAAATAGAAGTTGTTAGTGCATGATGTCTCGTAGTTCTTCAGACAGTTGCGTAGTCTCTTCCATTCACAGGTTTATCGGGTTAATACTGAAGTGATGAAACAGGTTAGAGGCCAATGGAAAAGATGTTATTGATGCAAGAGATCAGTGGGAAAATCATCTGTTAAATCCATTTCCAGTTCATTTATGCCACGTTTCCATTTTCCATTTATGTATTTTTTTTATAAAGGGAAATTATGTATTTTTAGTTGCATTTTATTGAAAATTATTAGAAATATATTCTGTAAATAATAATACCAACTTATGTATTAAATAAAAATTTGGATAATTGATAAGGGTAAAAGTATCTTGCTTAGAAAATTCCAAAATGACTGTTGGGAATATTGCAGCAAAGGATCTAAAGTGATGGTTTTAACACGCTGGAAAATTGCAGTAAAGAAACTAGAAAAAAGGGTTATTTAGTAAAGAGCGCATATCCTTGTATGCATTATTCATTTAAAGGTCACTTAGAAACTTTTCATTTTGTAGATAGGGATGTAGGGTATTGCTAGGAATCCCTAAATGACAAGAATATCTTTTATCCAAGTGGAGTCCTTGTTGGTGGTTTATGTTGTCCAGTAAATCTAGGACCAAAAATAATTTTTTGGTGAAACACTGGGTAGAGAAAGTTTCAAGTACTGAAGATTTTCATAGTTTTCTGTTTTAATTATTTTTGTTTGGGAATGGTGATAATTTGGAGAAAGATTAAAGTGATTTTTTACTCAGTCGACTTATCTGTGTATCATCTTTAGTTCATTGGAGACCATCTCATTTTTACCCTTTTAATTCCCATAATGAATCAATTTCTGGTGATATTGCTGCTTCCTATGTTTAAGTTCTTAACTGAAGGGCAGATGTGGACTCTCTGAATGACAGATTTAGAAGATATGAGAGCTATGGTGGAATAGATGTCACATCTCATTTGCAACTACTTCCCAAGTTGTTGCACATCATTTGAATCTCGTGTTTGTGTCTATGCGCCACCTTGTCTTTGGGAAAATCTGGTAGACAAGGTTACGGAATGAAGCTCAGGATCTGGGTGGACATTTTGCCCACATGTAGTGCATATTGAATTTAAAGATAAGTAAGCTATTGTAGTTGAGGTTTTTGTCTGGCATATATTAACAAATATCACCTTTTTCTTAGTGGTTCTCTCAGCTATTGCACACCTTTTTGTGGTGTCAGCCAGTCAGAAAGTAAAGGGAAGACAATATGAGAAAGAAAATGCAGTTTCCAGGAAAAGTGAGCAAACTGGAAACTACTTAGTATGAATTAGCTAGTATAGTATGATGTATTTTGTATATTTTTGAAGAATGTACCTTGAGAGAAATTGACGGAAAAGGATGCGCTGGTATTAACACAGTTACTTTTGTTTCAAGCAGATTTGTGTTTGAACTTTGTGTAACTAGTATTTTGTTCTTTAAATGGTTTAATCTTTCTATCAGACTGAAAGTTATGGAAAAAACACAAAAGTGATAATGATAAATAGTTATAGTAATGATGAAAATGACAATTATTATAATAACGATAATGATGGCAGATGTGCCTTACTGGCACCATATTCTTACCAAATTTCTTTTTTTTATTTTTTTATTAATCTTTTAATTGCCTTTTATTTTGATAATTGAAAAGCCTTCCTGAAGAAGAGAAAGCTTTGTTGTTATCAGGAGAATGATGTGGCTTTAGGTTTTTAAAGTAAAAAAGCTGACTTATAACTAATATATCATGAGAATACACTTTACATTTAGCTATTTGATTATGCTTTGTTGTTTAAGTGTGCTCTTCATAACACAGTAAAGGATACTGTTGCGTGTTTGTTATATGCATTGGGTTTAACTTTTTGAAATTCCAGTGAAAATCAGAAATGGTTTTAAGGTAGCAAGATGGTAATCCAGCTTGTGCACTCTTTGCAAACTATACTAACTGAGCATCATATGTGTGTAATATCTATATATTTTTATATACCTTGCTTCCCCTCCCCCCTAAAAGTTAGTATAGAATTCACTATTTTCACAAGTTTTCTTTCTTCACAGGAGGAGACACCTCAAGGGTTGTTTGAAGACCATGGGCTGGGTTAACCCTATTGCCTACCAGTTTACCCTGCTCTGAACAGAACAATATACTGAGAAGGGGAAAGCAATAACTGTCTTAAAAGGACCTTAGTTAATGGAATGCCATTTCTCTTTTTCCCGTTTCATTTTTGTGTTGCTGAGTTTGTTTTTCTCCTTTTTTAAAAATCCTTTACTCAGTTTTCTTAGTCATTTGACCTTGTGAACCTCATATGGAAAAAAGTCATTTAGATCGGATCCATCAGGGCTTCAACACACTCCCAAGTCCGGAGCATTAGGGCTTGATTAGCCCTCATAGTTATCAGTCCATAGCCTTTGTAGAATACTGTAGCTACCTTGCATGCTTATTTAAAGGCTCCATCTGAACTTTAGAAATGTACAATCAGGAAGAAATGATAATGGTAGAGAAACATTTAGGTAACTGAAAAGTAGAGAAGTGTATTTGTAGTAGTTATGATTGTTTTGAAAAAGTAGATATTCATTCTCAATTGTGTTGCTGTAGAAGAAAATTAGTCCTATCTCATCAGGTACAAGCCTATGCTTTCTGCAAATTAAGTCATTGGCAGAGAATTAGTGATAAGTGTTCATGGGTTTTGATATCTTGTGTTTCAGAGTTGTTTCATATTGTTATTTTATTGTCAGTAGCAAATGTGCTACTTTGTGTTTAAGGAGGGTAGTGCATTTCTTCACAAAAGTGTTTAAAATTGTAGTGGAATGAGATGTTATATGCTTTGCTGTGAATATTATATATTGAATTCAGGTTACTAGAAGGTTTTTCCAAGAATGGGTACGTAACTAAGAGATGCATCAGGATCAGGATATTATCTTTCCAGCTTAGGAAAGTTTACAGCAGCAGCTACTTGAACCAAAGTTCAATTTTTAATACAAATGGGTGTGTATACCAATTATTCATGCAGGATAGAGATAACATTTAAAGGTATTTCAAGTAGTGGGAGAATAGTCATCAATACCCAGGTACTTCCGATCTCAAGTCAGTGATTTTAAAAACCGTCCACCTAGTAGTTTTTAACTGTTGTTCTTAATAAATGTAGGTTTAAGTTTATTTTTGAAAGGAGGTTAGATAGCATTTTTCTCATTACCCTCTCCCCCCGTTTTTTTAGTATTTGAAAGCACTTTTTAAGCTATTAAGCATTTGATACTTAGGCTTCTGCATTGCATGTGTTTAGAATTTTAGTGTTACAGATATAAATTGAGAATTCTGTTATCTAACCTGTATTTTATGATCAGATGTTTTTGCTTTAACAAAAAAAAATGAACAGTATATTATTATGGGAAGCTTTGCACTGTTTACTCTATAAACTCAAAAAACAGTGGTAATTTCTCCTCCAAATTTACAGCTCAGGCATGCCATTAATGATATGCAAAAGTTGCCTTTAGTAAGAGACATTATTATTTTTTTTAAAGATTTGGCAAAACCAAGCGTAAAATGAATGCAATGAATGCCAGGGCATGAATGGTAATGAGAGACCCATGTTTATCTTTTTTTTGTTTGCTGTTGTTGTTTTCCCCATGCAAAGGCTTCATTTTTACCGTCTGAATAACTTCCAACAAGAAATCACGATATACGATTGACAGGGACGTCTTCCCTCAGGTACTGAAATTACATATGAATTGTAGAACTAACCAATATTTTAATAAGAGTATATAAAAACATTGTTTCTTTCATCCCCTTCAGTATATTATCATGCATAAAAATGATTTGTGTGGATAAAAAAGTAATGAAAGGAAAGTATGTGTAACTGAAAGCAGGCAAACTTTCCACTTCATGTATATTTCATCACTAGTCAGTGCAAGTCTAAACTGCTGTAATTAAGTTCCTCTGGAAATGAGAATCCATCACACTCCTACGTACTTTTAAAGAAACACTCAGTTTCACAAAAAACAGTTGCATAACCTACCAGTTGAAATATACCTTAAAGGAAAATGTTTTGAAGTGAGTCCACTGTCCACCCAAGCAAATTAGAGATAAAATATTATTAGTCAGTTCTTGCATTTTAGAATTAAAAAAAAAAAAAAAAAATTTACATTTATACGGTTAAACTGTGATATGTATCATGATAAAGTATAAGGAATGTCTTTTTTCAATAATTTTTAAATTTAAGATTTGAAAAGAAATGTAGCATAGGCCCACTAATATGAAAGCAAAATTTGATAAGGTTAATTTTTCATCTGGAAGAGAGATGTGGATCACTAGCAACAAAAGGAGAAACACATTGCTGCAATGTAACAGTTGGAAAGCAGTTACATAGAGAACCTAAATGCAATGGATTACTGCTACTTCAACTTTATTAGGCTGTCTTTATATGGGGGTTGCACCTCCCGAGTCCAGTGTTCTTACTACTGAACTGTACCCCATCCTTTTTGCCTTAAAACACATATGCTCTCTCTTCCTCCTCTCACTATTTCCACCGACTCTCGTAACTCAGTATCTCAGTCTATACACTTCACCAACCCCCTTGTCCAAAAAATTCAGGACTGATGGTCCTACTTTACGCTATAAATCCATCAGGTTTTGCTGGGTGCCCTGCCATGTCGGAATCCCAGGCAATGAGCAGGCAGATACCCTTGCACGCTCAGCCGCTATTTCCACTCCACACAACCCCAGTCTTTCATGTATTCCAGCTATGGATGATTATCCTTACTTTAAGACTTTGCTTTATGCTCAATGGTAAACTTTCTTGCCTTTTCTTGTCACGAATAAATTGCATACAGTAAAACCATCAATCTCCTCCTGGTCAACTTCTTTTCTTACTCCTACCATATGTCACTATTTGACCCCTATGTTCCTTATGCAATGTTCCCATTTCAGTCTTACACTTTCCGTTGTCCTGTCCACGTTTTATCACAAAACCATATTGATGCTTTTCTTCATCTATCTTCCCAACACCGGCCTCCCAACCTCTCAGACATCCTGAAGGAATCCCATACTTTCTGCACTGAGAACTTATTCTCCCTCCTCAGACACATACATATCCTTCACTTGATCTAATCCACTCCAGTTTATTCCTAGCGTAACCCAATCACTCCCCCCCCCCTCCACATCTTCCTATCTATATACACCCTTCCAGTACCACACTACTACTGTACAGCTGCTGACGTATCACACCTAGCCAGTAACTCCTCCCCATCTCTACCCTTCCCGATACTCCTATGGTACTGCACGACCTTCGACCTTCGATGTGTATTACATTAATTCCGCTTCTAACCATTAACTTAACTTATATGGGGGTTGCTGTCAACTTCCATGTTATTGAAAAAGCTTTCCTATATTCACTGCTGTACAATCTATCTTGTCTTTCGTCCTCTCCTCCTCCTCCCCAATATTGATATAGGATTATTACCTTTACACACACACACGCACACACTTCTTTTCCTTTTCCTTCTTAGTGAAGTATTAGTCTCTTGCAGAAGAGGAAAAGTAAAGAAATAAAAAAATATTTCCAACAGCGCCTTTTCAGAACCCATTTCACATACATCACTTCAATGTTCTTTTCTCTTGATTTCTCTTCTTTCCTTGTAGTGAAATTACTTCCCCAGAACGTAGAACAAATTGTATAGTGCAATTTGGAGAGGAAAATGAACTACAGAAGTGTGTTCAATTTATAAATGGAGGTGTGAATTTATGCAAAAACAACCGAGCCAGAAAAGCAAGATGAATAAAACCCTGGCAAATGTTTGCTAACATTTTATTGCAAATATTACAGTTCAGTCTGACTCATTAAATACCAATTCAGAGAGATTAAATTCTTCATTAAAGTTCACAAAACTGTTGACAGGTGTTTGGTGTAAGTATATACCACAGGGTGATTACTTTTTATCGGTGTACTTACTTTGAACAACCTTCAGAATTCTATATTGATAGTATGCTGTTGTCTTTGATGCAGTGTATTTACTAGACGAATACTATGCCAAGTAGACTATTTTATGAAGATATCCAAGGGGTTCAATAGCGTTTCTTCTACGTGGCAATTCACGAGCCAATCTACAGTGGGCTGCAGAGAAATAGCTGACATATTTTTTCTTTCTCTCTCATTCTCACTCTCACTTCCCCTCCCCCTTCCTCTTCCTCTCCTATTTCTTTTTCTTTCTTTCTTTCTCTTTTTCTCTATTTTTCTTTCCCTCCCTCTCCCTTCCTCTCTCTCTCTCTCTCTTTCTCTCCCTCTCTCTGTCTCTCTCTCCCTCCCTCCCTCCCTCCCTCTCTCTCTTCCTCCTCCCCCCCTCTCTCTCTCTCTCCTCCCTCCCTCCCTTCCTTCCTTCCTTCCTTCCTCCCTCCCTCCCTCCCTCCCTCCCTCCCTCCCTCCCTCCCTCTCTCCTCTCCCCTCCCTCCCTCCCTCTCTCTCTCTTTGAGTGTGCGTGCGTGCGTGCGTGTGCGTACGCGCGCTTCTGCTCGTGCGATGCAATTTTGCCACCCACTATACAGGGAACTGCCTTCTCGTGCTGTGGGAATTCAAACACCTTCCTCAGCTGCTTAGTCTTTATTCCAGCTGAAAAGTGGCCTCGTTGCAGATGGTTCGCGCGGGATGTATGGTCGTGTTTGGCGCGTAAATTTGAAGGGAGATTTAACATCGGAGGTTCAGTGTTTGAAGCGTTAATTACAAACTCGTAAAAGTTGTCACTGACTGTTCATTCACACCTTTTTTTTTACATTTGATTCTGAAATTATATCGGAGTTAAAGACTGATACTTAGTTTAAGCTCGTATTTATTAAGGCCCAGAAGTCGTTAAGTTGGCAATAAATATGTTATTTATATAGACACTACATGCGGCACTTATTTACTTGGTCTTCATGGTACAATGCGTCTTTGTGAATGTACAAACCAACTCAAACACAGAACAACAACAAAGCAAGTGGACAAAGTGAGGATTTGTTGAAATACAACAGAAACTCTAGAAATACAATACGATAATAAATTACAAAAACAGTTACAAAGAGGGAAATCTGCAACTTATGGTAGACAAAACCTTACAAAAAAAAAAAAAAAAAAACAAATGGAACTGTCATTAAATCACCGCTTCACTAAGCCAAACAGGACCCTGAATGCTGTTAAAACACCAGAGTAGTAGGAGTGCCTCGCCAAACCTCCCCCATTCCTCCACTCCTTCCCACAAAAGGGGCTCAGACGCTCGTCACCAAGCCTAAGGATTCCACGCCACGCTGCCGTCTGGGTATAGTTTCTTCAGGAAGTCCGAGGGGTCGTAACCGAACATGGTAAAGTCCTTCCTGTAGACGGCGAGGATATTCTGCATAAGTTTAGGACTGACGGCGCTGTAGTAGTTCTCCAGGAGGTCGCTCGTGTTGCCTCTGCCCTTGTGCGAGTTGTACAGGAGGATGGTGTAGTCTGCGTCCTTTTCTATCCCCGTCTCTCTGGAGATTGGAGAAGTTTGGGAATGTTTACGTTCGATGTTTATCCCTACAACCTTAAGCCGTCGACAGTGTGCTTCAAATTCACCCAAGAGACAGTTAGTATACCGACGTTACTGTTCGTTCTTCCTGACAAAATTACCTGACAACCCAATTCTCTCATTAAGTACGTACCCCCACAAAAATAACAACACATTATCACACTAACCACCTACCACATACCCGCCACCAAATCAACATCGAGACCGGGACCCCGCGTACCTGAGGATATAACCCAAGTCTTCATTGAGGGTTTCGGCGTGAGCGATGAGCGTGTAGTTGACGAAGCAGGCGCCGCACTGCAGGGCGATTGGCCTCCAGTGCGGGTCGTGGGCCTCGGGCGCCACGGACACGATGTACCTCAGGAATTCCTCGAAGGAGGGCATGATCCTCGTGCCGTTGGCGTGGGTTGGTTTGTACCTGGATGGGGGTGCGCGGGTGAGAGGCGACTTAATGAGAGAGAGAGAGGGAGAGGGAGAGGGAGAGGGAGAGGAGAGGAGAGGAAGAGGAAGAGGAAGAGGAAGAGGAAGAGGAGAGGAGAGGGAGAGGGAGAGGAGAGGGAGAGGGAGAGGGAGAGGGAGAGGGAGAGGGAGAGGGAGAGGGAGAGAGAGAGAGAGAGAGAGAGAGAGAGAGAGAGAGAGAAGAGAGAGAGAGAGAGAGAGAGAGAGAGAGAGAGAGAGAGAGAGAGAGAGAGAGAGAGAGAGAGAGAGAAGGGGCGGGGGAGGAGAGACAGAGGCAGAGAGAGCCAGACATGTAGATAGACAGACAAAGTGAGTCAGGCAGACCGATAGACAGGCAGACAGAGCCAGACAGAAAGAGAGTGAGAGAGAGAGACAGACAGAGAGCGAAACCGAGAACGAAAGAGCGAAATTACGTGAGAGAGAGAGAGAGAGAGAGAGAGAGAGAGAGAGAGAGAGAGAGAGAGAGAGAGAGAGAGAGAGAGACAGACACAGAGAGAACTCGCACCAAAGAGACGCACAACTCAAAGAGAACCCCCCACCCCACCCCATCATCCCACCCCCACCACCATCACCCCCCTCCTCCTCCCCAACACTCACCCCATCCCCCTCGTGAAGGTGAGGATCAGCGGCACGAAGCGGTTCGCGGCGCCCGTCTCGTGGGCGGCGTCGATCCTGTCCCTGTAGGCCGAGAGGAGGCGGGCCAGAGGCTCCCGCGCCACCACGAACTTCATGTAGTCCGGAGAGCTGTTGACGGAGGCGAACTTGGCGGCGCTGCCCTTCAGGATTCTGCTCATCCTGCGCGGGGGGGCGGGGAGGGAGAGCTGCTGAGATGTCCTGACGAGGTGGTGGTTGTTGCACTTGGGTGTGAGTATGTGTACTATGCCATTGCATATACACGCGTGCTTGGAAACACACACACAACACACACGTGTATATATAATATATATATATATATATATATATAATATATATATTAATATATATAAATAATATATAATAGATGTGTGCATGTGTGTGTATGCGCGTAGGAGTGTATGTGCATATGCGTGTGTATGCAAATAACAGGTATGAGAATTCTAAAAGTGAATCGTATCTGTATTTCTAATGTGCGGTATGTATGATAAAAGTCCCTGATACAGGCTAAATATTTTGTATATACTCTCCATTAAATCAGAGCAAATTGGTAACACTGTCTCAGTCTCACTAAAAGAAGTCACATCTTAAGATGTTAGAGAGAGAGAGAGAGAGAGAGAGAGAGAGAGAGAGAGAGAGAGAGAGAGAGAGGAGAGAGAGAGAGAGAGAGAGAGAGAGAGAGAGAGAGAGAGAGAGAGAGAGAGAGAGAGAGAGAGAGAGAGAGAGAGAGAGAGAGAGAGAGAGAGAGAGAGCGAGAGAGAGAGAAGAAGAGAGAGAGAGAGAGAGAGAGAGAGAGAGAGAGAGAGAGAGAGAGAGAGAGAGAGAGAGAGAGAGAGAGAGAGAGAGAGAGAGAGAGAGAGAGAGAGAGAGAGAGAGAGAGAGAGAGATAGAGAGAGAGAGAGAGAGAGAGAGAGAGAGAGAGAGAGAGAGAGAGAGGAGAGAGAAAGAGAGAGAGTGACTAAGAAAGCTAATTATCAAAATTCCCATCGAGCTGATCTCATCTTTAATACCTGCAGATATAAAACCCTGATCGTTGCAACTTCCGCATAATCAAAAGACGGCGATAATCAAGCGAAAAAAACATTTGTGTGAAT